CCCCTGTCCCCATGTCCCCGTGTCCCCGTGTCCCCGTTCCCAAGGGTGCCGGGGTCACTCTGGATTGGCCCCGCGGGTGACAAACGGCACCGATTGTCCCCGGGCCTGGCCCGAGTGACATTCCCGAACCTTCTGTGAGGGTTTGGATCCCTGATCATTCCCAGCAGGGATTGGATCCCTGATCCATGTGAGGAATTGGATCCCTGATCCATGTGAGGGATTGGATCCCTAATCCATGTGAGGGATTGGATCCTGAATCCAGGTGAGGAACTGGATCCCAGATCCTTCCCAGAGGAATTGGATCTCTGATCCATGTGAGGGATTGGATCCTGATCCTTCCCAGCAGGGATTGGATCCCAGATCCTTCCCAACAGAAATTGGATCCCAGATCCTTCCCAGGGCAGGGATTGGATTCCTGATCCATGTGAGGAATTGGATCCCAGATCCTTCCCAGCAGGAATTGGATCCCAGATCCTTCCAGCAGGAATTGGATCCCTGATCCATGTGAGGGATTGGATCCCAGATCCTTCCAGGTGGGGAACTGGATCCCAGATCTTCCCAGCAGGGATTGGATCCCAGATCCAGGTGAGGGATTGGATCCCAGATCCTTCCCAGAAGGATTTGATCCCTGATCCTTCCCAGGGCAGGGACTGGATCCCTAATCCATGTGAGGAATTGGATCCCAGATCCTTCCCAGGGCAGGGATTGGATCCCAGATCCTTCCCAGCAGGGATTGGATCCCTGATCCATGTGAGGGATTGGATCCTGGATCCAAGTGAGGGATTGGATCCCAGATCCTTCCAGGATCCCTGATCCTTCCAGGTGAGGAATTGGATCCCTGATCCTTCCAGCAGGGATTGGATCCCTGATCCTTCCAGGTGAGGAATTGGATCCCAGATCCTTCCAGCAGGGATTGGATCCCTGATCCTTCCAGGTGAGGAATTGGATCCCAGATCCTTCCAGCGGGGATTGGATCCCTAATCCAGGTGAGGGATTGGATCCCTGATCATTCCCAGCAGGAATTGGATCCCAGATTCTTCCCAAAGCAGGGATTGGATCTCTGATTCTTCCTAGCAGGGATTGGATCCCTGATCCTTCCCAGAAGGAATTGGATCCCAGATCCTTCCAGTTGAGGGATTGGATCCCAGATCCATGTGAGGAATTGGATCCCAGATCCTTCCCAGGGCAGGGATTGGATCCCAGATCCTTCCCAGGGCAGGGATTGGATCCCAGATCCAGGGCAGGGATTGGATCCTAGATCCTTCCTGGATCCCAGATCCTTCCAGGATCCCTGGCTCTTCCAGGTGAGGGATTGGATCCCTGATCCTTCCCAGAGGGATTGGATCCCAGATCCAGTTGAGGGATTGGATCCCTGATCCTTCCCAGGGCAGGAATTGGATCCCTAATCCATGTGAGGGATTGGATCCCAGATCCTTCCAGCAGGAATTGGATCCCAGATCCTTCCCAGGGCAGGGATTGGATCCCAGATCCTTCCAGGTGAGGAATTGGATCTCTGATCCTTCCCAGCAGGAATTGGATCCCTGATCCATGTGAGGAATTGGATCCCTGATCCAGGGCAGGAATTGGATCCCAGATCCTTCCAGGTGAGGAACTGGATCCCTGAGCCGGGGCAGGGATTGGATCCCAGATCCATGTGAGGAATTGGATCCCTGATCCTTCCCAGAGGGATTTGATCCCTGATCCTTCCCAGCAGGAATTGGATCCCTGATCCATGTGAGGGATTGGATCCCTGATCCATGTGAGGAATTGGATCCCAGATCCTTCCCAGGGCAGGGATTGGATCCCTGATCCATGTGAGGAATTGGATCCCAGATCCTTCCAGCAGGAATTGGATCCCTGATCCTTCCAGTTGAGGGATTGGATCCCTGATCCTTCCAGGTGAGGAATTGGATCCCTGATCCATGTGAGGAATTGGATCCCAGATCCTTCCAGCAGGAATTGGATCCCAGATCCTTCCAGGGCAGGGATTGGATCCTAGATCCTTCCTGGATCCCTGATCCTTCCAGGTGAGGAATTGGATCCCAGATCCTTCCCAGCAGGGATTGGATCCCTAATCCAGGTGAGAAATTGGATCCCTGATTCAGGTGAGGGATTGGATCCCAGATCCTTCCCCGAGGGATTGGATCCCAGATCCTTCCCAGAGGGATTGGATCCCAGATGCTTCCCAGGGCAGGGATTGGATCCCTGATCCATGTGAGGGATTGGATCCCAGATCCTTCCAGTTGAGGGATTGGATCCCTGATCCTTCCCAGCAGGAACTGGATCCCAGATCCTTCCCAAGACAGGGATTGGATCCTGGATCCACGTGAGGAATTGGATCCCAGATCCTTCCCAGGGCAGGGATTGGATCCCTGATCCAGGCGAGGCTTTGGCAGTCGGAGCCACAGGGTTGGATCCGGCTCTGGAAGGGCAGGAATTGTTTGGGATCCATGGAAAAAAGGGCAGGAATTGTTTGGGATCCATGGAAAAAAGGCAGGAATTGTTTGGGATCCATGGAAAAAGTGCAGGAATTGTTTGGGATCCATGGAAAGAAAGGCAGGAATTGTTTGGGATCTATGGAAAAAAGGCAGGAATTGTTTGGGATCCATGGAAAAAAGGCAGGAATTGTTTGGGATCCATGGAAAAAAGGCAGGAATTGTTTGGGATCCATGGAAAAAGTGCAGGAATTGTTTGGGATCCATGGAAAGAAAGGCAGGAATTGTTTGGGATCTATGGAAAAAAGGCAGGAATTGTTTGGGATCCATGGAAAAAAGGCAGGAATTGTTTGGGATCCATGGAAAAAAGGCAGGAATTGTTTGGGATCCATGGAAAGAAAGGCAGGAATTGTTTGGGATCCATGGAAAAAAGGCAGGAATTGTTTGGGATCCATGGAAAAAAGGCAGGAATTGTTTGGGATCTCTGGAAAGAAGGGCAGGAATTGTTTGGGATCCATGGAAAAAAGGGCAGGAATTGTTTGGGATCCATGGAAAAAAGGCAGGAATTGTTTGGGATCCATGGAATTGCTGCTCCCAGCACTGGAATTTGGGAATAGCTTTGGATTCATAATCCCAAAACAATGGGAAGAAGGGCAGGAAATCTGGGAATTCTGTTCCCGCAGGAAAAGGTGGGAGGGTGGCTCTGCTCTGACCCTCTTGGGAATGCTCAGAAATCCAAGGAATTTTCAGAAATCCAAGGAAAATTCCACTGCAAGGAAAAAAAAAAAAATCTTGGAATATTTTTCTAGCTCCCTTGGATACTTTTCCAAAATTTTTTTTCCCCTGTTGTTGGAATGAGACTGTTTGGGTTGGAATTTTTTTAAAGATTCCATGGATTCATTGGAAAAAAAAGAAAAAAGTGGATTTTTTTTGATTTTTGGGAGCAGAGAAGTTGGTTTAAGGAGTGGAATTTGGGGAATTATTCCACTGTGGAATTTTTTCCAACCTTTCCCTGCCGGGGCCTTTAAATTATTGAGGGAATTAATGAGGGATAAGGGAAAAAAAAAATGGGAAAAAATCCCAGGGATCGCCATCTGGAGCGCTCCGTTTGTGGGATAACGAGGCAGAGAGAGGGGAAAAAATGGGAATAAATCAAATCTGGGATTTGGGAAAAGGGGGAGGAGAATTTGGGATGGGATCAGGGCATGGATGCAAAGGGATCCAAAGGGATCCAAAGGATTTTGCCATGGGGTGGGAGGATCCTGTGGTTTTCCCTGTTTATCCCGATTTTTCTCCTTCCCAAGTGCGTTTTCCCGGCTGGAATTTTGGGTTCTCCTCCTCTTTTTCCTCATCCCTCAGGGTGGGATCCCAAAGTTCCTTTGTGGGGGTCCCTTTAGGGGATGGATCCTACAGGGAGAATTCCATGGAATTCCTGAGGAGATTCCAGGTGGAAAGTGGGGCTGATCCCAGAAAACTCAGGAATGGGTCCTGCTCAGGGAATTCCATGGAATTCCTGAGGAGATTCCATGCAGGAGCAGGGCTGGAGTCCCAAAATCCCTTTGTGGGGTCCCTTTAGGGGATGGATCCTACTGGGAGAATTCCATGGAATTCTTGGGAGATTCCAGGTGGAAAGTGGGGCTGATCCCAGAAAACTCAGGAATGGGTCATGCTCAGGGAATTCCATGGAATTCCTGAGGAGATTCCATGCAGGAGCAGGGCTGGAGTCCCCAAAATCCCTTTGTGGGGTCCCTTTAGGGGATGGATCCTACAGGGAGAATTCCATGGAATTCCTGAGGAGATTCCAGGTTCAAAGTGGAGCTGATCCCAGAAAACTCAGGAATGGGTCCTGCTCAGGGAATTCCATGGAATTCCTGAGGAGATTCCATGCAGGAGCAGGGCTGGAGTCCCAAAATCCCTTTATGGGGTCCCTTTAGGGGATGGATCCTGCTGGGAGAATTCCATGGAATTCCTGAGGAGATTCCAGGTGGAAAGTGGGGCTGATCCCAGAAAACTCAGGAATGGGTCCTGCTCAGGGAATTCCATGGAATTCCTGAGGAGATTCCAGGTGGAAAGTGGGGCTGATCCCAGGAAACTCCTGCTGGGGGAATTTTTGGGATCCAGGGGTCCCTTTCCCAGATTTTTTCCCGGGGAATTGCCCTTCCTGGGGGATATTCCAGAGGGTCCCCGTGGGAGTGTCCAGCACATCCTGGGGATCCCCGCTGAGGGTGGGAATTCCAGGAATCCTTTCCCAAATATCTCCTGAGTAACGGTCGCTTTTCCGGGACAATTCCCTTTTTGGGAATATCCATGAGGAGAGTGGGAATTCACTCCTGGAGCTTTCCTGGGGACCTTTCCCAGGAGGGGACATTCCGGAGTGTCCCCGTGGGGGTGTCCGTGTCCATCCCGGGTCTCTCTTCCCAGATTTCCCCATCCCTCGGCAGCGCCGCTTCCTGCGGGCTCTCTCCCCACCCCCACCCCCGCCTTTCCCGGTTCCAGGGCTCCCTCCCGGGAATCCGGGATGCCTCTCCCGGGGCTGTCCCGCCGACCGCTGCCTTCCCCCCGCAGGGCCCCGGGCGGGCGGGCGCGGAGCGGAGCCCGGTGCCGGTGCCGGTGCCGGTGCGGGAGCGGAGCGGGCGCGGGCCGCCCGCCGCGGCGCACGGAGCATGCCTCTGAGCCCCGCGGGCAGCAAGCATGACAACCCCGAATCGCCGCCACCGGAGCCGCCACCGGAGCGCCAACCCCGCGGCAGCGGCGAGCCGAGCCCCGGTCTGCGGGAGGAACCGCGCCTGGAACCGGCCCGGGGCCCCGGTGGGCCCCGCTCGCCCAAGCTGGCGGCCCCGGTGCGCATGGAGGAACCGGCACCCGGCGCCATCGTGGTGCGCATCGGCATCCCCGACCTGCAGCAGACGGTGAGTGTGACCGGGGACACCGGGAGGGACAGAGGGAGGGAGCCCCGAGCGGCCGCCGCCGCCGCCGAGCCGGGATGCGCAGCGGGAGCCGCACCGGGAGCGCCGCCGCGAACCGCCCGCGCCGGGATGCGCAGCTCGGAACGGCCCCGATCCGCACCCAAATCGGCCCCGATCCGCACCCAGAACAGCCCTCGGTCAGAGCGGCCCCAAACCGCGCCCCGAGCCGCACCCGGACCGGCCCCAAACCTCGTTCAGAGCGGCCCCGACCCGCACCCGGACCGGTCCCGACCCTCAATCACATCGGGCGTGATCCGCGCCCGGATCCGCACCCGGACCGGCCCCAAATCTCGTTCAGAGGGGCCCCGACCCGCACCCGGACCGGTCCCGACCCTCCCTCACATCGGCACCGGTTCGCACCCGGACCGGCCCCAAACCTCGCTTACATCGGGCCCGATCCGCGCCCGGATCCGCACCCGGACCGGTCCCGACCCGCACCCGGATCCGCACTCGGACCGGCCCCAAACCTCGTTCAGAGAGGCCCCAACCCGCACCCGGACCGGTCCCGACCCTCAATCACATCGGGCCCGATCCGCGCCCGGATCTGCACCCGGACTGGTCCCAAACCTCGCTCAGAGGGGCCCCGACCCTCACCCGGACCGGTCCCGACCCTCAGTCACATCGGGCCCGGTTCGCACCCGGATCCGCACCCGAACCGGCCCCAAATCTCGTTCAGAGCGGCCGCGATCCGCACCCAGACCGGTCCCGACCCTCAGTCACATCGGCACCGGTTCGCACCCGGATCCGCACCCGGACCGACCCCAAACCTCGCTCAGAGCGGCCCCGACCCGCACCCAGACCGGTCCCGACCCTCAATCACATCGGGCCCGGTCCGCGCCCGGATCCGCACCCGGACCGGCCCCAAACCTCGTTCAGACCGGCCCCGACCCGCACCCGGACCGGCCCCAAACCTCGCTCAGAGAGGCCGCGACCCGCACCCGGACCGGTCCCGACCCTCCCTCACATCGGCCCCGACCCGCACCCCGATCCGCAGCCGTTTCGGTGCCGCACCGGCACTGCCGCGATCCGCATCCCGGTGTCCCCATCCCGTGTCCCCATCCCGGTGTCCCCATCCCGTGTCCCCATCCGGTGTCCCCATCCCGTGTCCCCATCCGGTGTCCCCATCCCGTGTCCCCATCCCCGTGTCCCCATCCCGTGTCCCCATCCCGGTGTCCCCATCCCGCTGTCCCCATCCCGTGTCCCCATCCCGTGTCCCCATCCCGCTGTCCCCATCCCGTGTCCCCATCCGGTGTCCCCATCCCGTGTCCCCATCCGCTCCCCGCTCCAGGGATCCGCGCCCACCGGGAGCGGGCTGGAAACGGGACCGGGATTGGGATCAGCTCTGGGACCAGGACCGGGATTAGGACCGGCTCCTGAACCGGGACTGGGACTGGGAACGGGATTGGGACTGGGACCGGGATTGGGATCGGCTCCAGGACCGGGAGCAGGATTGGGACCGGCTCCTGAACCGGAACTGGGACTGGGAACGGGATTAGAACCGGGACCAGGACCAAACTGGGAATGGGCAGTGGGGGCGGCTCCAGTACTGGTTTGGGACCGGGAGTGGATCCGGGACTGGGATTGGGACTGGGAATGGGATCGGGATTGGGACTGGCTTGGGGCACCAGGCTGGCAGAGGCTGGTGGCACTGGGGACACCAAGCTTGTGGTCAGTGGCACTGGGGACACGGAGTTGGCAGTGGCTGGTGGCACTGGGGACACTGAGGCTGTGGTCAGTGGCACTGGGGACACCAAAGCTGTGTCTGGTGGCCCTGGGGACCCCGAGCTGGGTGGTGGCGCTGGGGACACTGAGCTGTGTCTGGTGGCACTGGGGACACAGGGCTGGCAGAGACTGGTGGCACTGGGGACACTGAGCTGACTGGTGGCACTGGGGACACCGAGCCTGTGGCTGGTGGCACTGGGGACACCAAGCTGGCAGAAGCTGGTGGCCCTGGGGACACCAAGCTTGTGGTCAGTGGCACTGGGGACACTGAGTTTGTGGCTGGTGGCACTGGGGACACAGGGCTGGCAGAGACTGGTGGCACTGGGGACACGGAGCTCTTAGAGGCCAGTTGGGGACATCAGGTTTGTGGTCAGTGGCACTGGGGACCCTGAGCTGTGTCTGGTGGTGCTGAGGACACAGGGCTGGCAGAGACTGGTGGCACTGGGGACACTGAGCTGGCTGGTGGCACTGGGGACACTGAGCTGGCTGGTGGCACTGGGGACACCGAGGTTCTGTCTGGTGGCACTGGGGCTACAAGGCCTGGCAGAGGGCACTGGGGACACCAATCCTGTGGTCAGTGGCACTGGGGACACCAAGCTGTGTCTGGTGGCACTGGGGACACTGAGCTGTAGCTGGTGGCACTGGGGACACCAGGCTGGCAGAGACTGGTGGCACTGGGGACACAGGGCCTGTGGTCAGTGACACTGGGGACACCGAGCTGTGTCTGGTGGCACTGGGGATACAAGGCCTGGCAGAGGGCACTGGGGACACCAATCCTGTGGTCAGTGCCATTGGGGACACTGAGCCTGTGGCTGGTGGCACTGGGGACACCGAGCTGGCAGAGGCTGGTGGCACTGGGGACACTGAGTCTGTGGTCAGTGGCACTGGGGACACCGAGCCTGTGGCTGGTGGCACTGGGGACACCGAGCTTGTGGCTGGTGGCACTGGGGACACCAAGGTTGTGTCTGGTGGCACTGGGGACACTGAGCTGACTGGTGGCACTGGGGACACCGAGCCTGTGGTCAGTGGCACTGGTGACACTGAGCTGGCTGATGGCACTGGGGACACTGAGCTGTGTCTGGTGGCACTGGGGACACCGAGGTTGTGTCTGGTGGCACTGGGGACACCGAGCCTGTGGCTGGTGGCACTGGGGACACCAAAGCCGCCCGGTTTGGTAGGAAAAAGTGGGAAATCCAGGAAAAATCCCGGGAATGTGCCGAGTTTTTCCTCTCTGTCGGCGGTGCCGGAGCAAACTTTGGGATCATCCCATGGGAATGGGCCCTGTGGGGGCCCGGCTGTGATTCCAAAGGTTTTCCGTTGGTTTTTCCTCTGGAAGCGGCGGAAAACTCATCCCGAGGGATCACAGGCTCGGCGCATCCCGGAAAAACCGGGATGTGGAGAGATGGGAGATGGGAATGCCAACATTCCCAGGACTGGAATTTATGGGAACAGCTGGGATGTGCAGCCAGGGAGGAATTTTCTGGAATTTTCCAAAGCTTTTCCTTCCCTGTTTTGTGCTGGCAACTCCTTCCTCTTCCCTTTTAAATCCTGGAAAAGCCGGAATTCAAATAAGATCCCAGCTGGATTTATCCGGGAGCAGCTCCCGGCATTGGATGGCCCGGGAGTGTCCAGCTGGAATTCCAGAGGTTTTTCCTGATGTTTTCCAGGATATGTTGGGAGCTCCCACCCCTGACCCCTCAATCCTTGGAAAACCAGAGTGGGAATTCCCACATTTTGTCCCTTCCGAGGCATTTTTTAACCGGGAGCATCCCTGACTTTGCCAAGGAGATTCCTTGGTGTTCCAGGAATTCCTTGGAATTCCAAGAATTCCAAGATCAAATCCAAGGCTGCCAGGGATGGGAATTTTGGTTGGGAATTCCTTTGGGATGAGGAAGAAGAGGCTCCTGCCTCTCCCATGTGGCCGATTCCCGGGAAGGGAAGGGAGAACATGGAAAAGTGAGGGATGAGGGTTGGGATCATCCCGTGGGAATGTGGATTCCGAGGGAAAAGAGCTCCTGGAAAACAGAGGGATGAGAGTGGAGATCCCACAGGAACGTGGATTCCGAAGGATGGGAACTTTTCCCACTGGAAAAGTGAGGGATGAACGTGGAAATCCCAGTGTGGGAATGTGGATTCCAAGGGAAAGGAAAACCTGGAAAAGGGAGGGATGAAGGTGAAGATCATTCTGTGGGAATGCGGATTCCAAGGGATGGGAACTCCTGGAAAAGTGAGGGATGAGAGTGGGAATGTGGATTCCAAGGGAAGGAAACACCTGGAAAAATTAGGGATGAGGAATTGCTCCTCTTCCCACCAATTCCCTGCCTCCATCCCAAGGCTTTTCCATTCCCTGTTTTCCCAGTACTTAGATCCCGAAATTCCTCTCTCCATTCTCCCCTGTCTTAGCCATGGGAACGCCAAAAAAAAAAGGGAAAATGGGAAGAATTCCATTCCTGCAAAGGGAAAATTGGGATGTCGGGAATGGCCCCAAACCTTTGATCCTTCCCCGCTTCCTCACTGCGGCAAAAACCTTTGGATGTCGAGAATTCCAATGGAATTTTCCCCCTTTTTAGGGCAGAACCAAAGCTGCTTTTTGCTTGGAGCTTCCCATTGTTTTTCCATGGAAAAGCGGCGCCTTTCGGATCCGCCGGATCGTGCTCCGTGAATGGAGCAGCTGCTCCGCTTTTTTTCCCTCTTCCCCATTTCCATTTTTTTCCCGTCCCCGTTCCTGCAGGTGCTGCCTGCGGATTTTTCCAGCCTTTTTGTGGCTTTTGTTTTGGGGTTTTTTTGGGAGCTGTTTTCCCGTGGCGGCCGTCGGAGCATCCAGAGGGAGGATCTGGATGGAGTGAGGGTGTCCCAAAAACCGGTGGGAATCAAATGAGTGATTCCCAAAAATCCCCTGGAAGGATTCAGGTGCTTCAACCATAAATCCCGGGATCCCTGAGCTTGGAATTCCAAGAATTCCAAGATCAAATCCAAGCTGGGCCTGATCCCAATCCCAGAGTCCTGAGAGCCACAATCAGGAATTCCTTGGATTCCTCCATGGATGGCCATCCTGGTTTTTCCAGCCCCATCCTGGGTTTTCCAGCCTCATCCTGGGTTTTCCAGCCTCATCCCGGGTTTTCCAGCCTCATCCCGGGTTTTCCAGCCTCATCCCAGGTTTTCCAGCCTCATCCTGGCTTTTCCAGCCTCATCCTGGTTTTTCCAGCCTCATCCTGGCTTTT